TCTATAGGTATGTTATCGGGCACTGTACATGAAATAATGTTAATACAATTTTCTTCACCTATAATAACTTCTATCTCTATATTACAGTACTGGAAAAAAATATCCAGACAATAAGTATAGTTTTCAGTATTAATAAGTAAATCCAACATTATGTTAACCATCTCAGGAGTTACCATATCAGGGAACTTCTTGAATGAAATGTCTAAAGTATCAATAGCTTTTTTGTAATCATTTGCTTCACTGTACAGTATTGCTAATTTTAAAGAAATTTCCAATAATTCTTTATCATTTTTTTGCATCAGCAAAGCTAGATATCTAACACATGCCTTTATTAATGTATTCTTATTTTCTAGTTTCTCTAGTAAGCATATACGTTTTTTATGTAATGTGCAATTTTCTTTATCGGCATTTATGGCAAAATTGTAACAGCTTATGCCTAGATTTATATTATTACGTTCAACTGCTCTTTCTGCTGTATTGGTCCACAATGTAATGTCTTTTCTAGTGGTAACTGCGGCCATAAAGTATAATTGCAAACTTTTATCTGGATCTTTAGCTTCAAGTAGTTGTGCAAGTGTTAGAAAAGCCTCGGAAGCACGAGGACATTGTCTTATAACTTCGTAACATATTTTTTCAGCAGTTTCAGTATCTCCACGAGCAAATCGTAAATTTGCTTCACCTATCAATGCTTTAATATGTGGTGGAACGTTCGATCTATGTCTCTTGCGTTTTTGGCAACTTAGTGATGGAGACTGCTTTAAACTAGAACATTCTTGTTCAGCAGAATTATTTGATTCTTGTGTAGATGTACAAGGGATATCTAAGTTATCTTCAGCTGTAGATTCATCCATACAAATAGCAAGAAACGGGTCTAACTGATTTAACTCTGAAGACAAGCACTCTACAGGTAATTCAGAAATAAATTCATCTTGACTTGACTCTTTGTCTATATCCATTGCATGAGAATACTCCAACTGGTTTTCATTTCGGGTATTTGTAGTTGGAATAAATACATTCTCGCTAACATTATTTTCCTCATGCTCCATAACACAATAAATATGCAATAAATTTTAATAACAAATCTTAATGTTTATTTAGTGTTTTACTTAATCCATACTTAATCTGTGGTAATAGATTAGATATATCTATGGTATTTTACATAGACAAGAGAGCGGTTTAGAACATAGGTTTAGACAGGTTTAGAATAGTTAATAGTTGATCATAGATAAATAATTATGACCATAATAATTACATTAGATTGATTACAATAAATTAATTACTTTCTTGAGTTCTGTGTTTATTTACTTTGGCAAGACTCGCTGTTCAGCTTTATCAAATCCTGAACAAATATCTTTTTATGATTTTTATGCTATGAATAAATAGGGTGCGTTCCATTAAACATACATAGCGTTCAGCACGTAAATTAAGTCTTTTCACATTTGCCTAATTTATAAAGATCATTAACTAACGACCGCGGTCGTGTTTTTTGAATAACTTATCGTGAATGAAAATAATCATAAATGCATAATTCAATATATGACCGATATTTACTATGAAAATTATGTGCAATTATAAATTGTTCTATAGTAATAGCAAATTTGAAGACATAATTGTCACATTTGTTTGACATCGTTGACACCCAAAAACACAAAACCATGACAGAAACACACCCACCCGCTGCGTTGAATAGTTTGTGGATTAAGTTTATGGCATACTAAATTCTGGATTTAGTCAAAAAAGTTTCTGATTATATTATATAAGTTTCTGTTTAAATTAGGTTTTAAAGTAAGTATACACTTTTAATGTAAAGTTTTTATTAATCATTATTTTGTTCCATACAAGTATTTATAGTTTTGTGATTCAAAAAACCGGTATACATGTTTCAGAAATATGTCACATAGGTATTTTTAGATTGAATTAAAGACGAATCAGTAACTTCATATACATTTTTTAACAAACAGAAGTGATTTTTGTAGTATTTTTTGTATAGATAACCAATAGTAATGTCCGAAAGCGAAGTTCACACACCTGAAGATATCGAACACGAAATTGAAACAAACTATAAACCACCCCCAGAAAAGACCATTGAAGAAATCCTTGCAGCAGATCAAGAAGATGAGAGTCTTAGGAAGTATAAAGAAGCTTTGTTGGGAGAGGCACAATCAGGAAAAATTGTTGTAGGTAGGGACCTTATTAATGTTTCATTATTGTGGCAGTTCTTTATTTTATTGTTATGCTTACAGAGCCAGATGATCCTAGAAAAGTTATTGTCAAAAAGTTAGTGCTTGTGGTAGCAGGCAGACCTGAAGTGTCCTTAGATCTTACTGGTGACTTATCAAAGCTCAAAAAGGAAACATTTACTATAAAAGAAGGGGTATCATACAGAATTCGCATTGAATTTATTGTTCAAAGGGAAATTGTTCATGGATTGAAGTATGTACAGAAGACCTACAGAATGGGTGTACCAGGTCAGTGTAAACATTTATCTTTTGTACTCTTATAATTTTTAATTATATGTAAATTAGCATGTTTCAATATTAATAACTGTTGAAATTCTCTTTTTGCATTCTGGATTTTGCAGAGGCAGGTAAATGTTACTTATAATTTAACTGCAATAATTGCTTAAAATTCATATTAAGTACACATTTATCTAAACATAACTTACTGTTGGTAATACCTGAATAATAATTGGTGTTAGTCGTATGCAAAAACTTATTAGAACTTTTATGTTGTATTTTATGATATTTAAGTGATTCTTAAATGTGTGTTACAATTGATTAGATAATAAATGGTAATTGTATTCCTAACTTTAAATTAGCATGTTCTGTTACTAATAATCTTTAGTCTTTGTTGGCAACCACAGAATTGGTACTCTTAAACGGATAAAATTAAATAAAAATGTATGATTAAATTTCTCAATTAAATTTTAATTTGATTAAAAAATGGCATACAAGAAGCTAGTTTTTTTTTTTAATTTTTGATAAATTTATTTCATATATTTGCAGTTGTTAGTTTTTCAATGTCATCTCCAATTTTCTTTTCATATAATTTTGTTAGGTATAAGTTTATTGGTGTGTATAGGAATATGCAATTGCAAAATAGTTTCATAGACTTGCCAGTATGATGCTAAACAAGTGTAATAAATCGAAAATTGGAAAACATCCAATATTTCGAAACGTTATTAATGTAAACTACCTTGTATTGTCGATATTCCAAAATTAATTACAGTTTATCGTTTTCACACTTGATTTGTTTACTTTATAATGCCAAACAACTTGTGCAAATGAATTTCCGCTTAATGCCAAGAAATTACTTAATTTCCATTAATTTATTAAAAGGTCAAAGTATAATATACGTCTTNAAGCAATATTTCAGAAAATAAACTTACAACGGCTGTTAAAAATTTTCTTTATAAACAAAATAAAAGTGACAAAGCGAGACCGATCTTTTCTTCTTTCAACGAACAAGAACATTCAATTCTTCACGAAAATGTCGAATTTATTATAGTGGATTTTGCACAGGATAATGTAAGTGGAAATGGAATAATTAGATAAGAAAAATAAATGTAACATGCAACCCTTCTAGAAGACAAATTGTACTAATATTTCTACCACGCAAACCAAGTATTTTATTTATAAATTGGATAATATTGGTCCTCAAAGTGAGTTGAGTGCAGATGATGATAGTGAAGAAATAAAGATTGCCAACGTGTGTGAATTACCTTCGAGAAGATATTTTGGTCTGTGGGAAAGCCTTATTTATGATTCTAATATTAAAGAAAATGTAAGTTTGGTTTTATATTTATGTGAACATCTAATAAATATATTTTTTAGTTGTTAAAATATGCCCAAACAGCAATGCTTTTTGCTGACAGAAATGTAGATGATAATTTAATTAGCTGTAACAAAGTTATTCTATTACATGGTCCACCTGGTACTGGAAAAACTTCATTGTCTAAAGCCCTTGCACAAAAATTATCTATTAGACTTCAAAGTCGTTTTATAAAAGGAATATTAATCGAGATTAACAGTCACAGTTTGTTTTCTAAATGGTTTTCTGAGGCAAGTTGTTTTTTTTATTTCTAAATGTAGGTATGTTCAAATACTAAAATGAAATTGCAGAGTGGTAAACTGGTTTCAAAAATGTTTTCCCAAATAAGAGATTTTGTAGAAGACCAAAAATTTTTAGTTTGTATATTAATTGATGAAGTGGAATCCTTAGCCCATGCAAGAGAGAAATGCATGTCAGGTATGTAGTATAGCATTTTCAATTTTTTAACAGATTAAATGTTGCAATGATTTTGTGGCAATATTATTTTAATTACTTTTTAATTATATACCTACTTCGCAATGAAATGAGGGGATAGCAATTTTGACCACTGCATCTAGCATGGATTAGTGTAGTTTTTATATTTTCATATCATTCAATACTAATTTTTATTTTGTTTCAGTTAATTACCTATCTCAGAAAATAATTTTATATATTGATTCATATTTATAAAACATCTTTCCTTGTGTTTTTTATTCAATATCTTGAATAGACCAGTGTTTGAGAAAGAGGCAGAAACANTCCCTACTGTTTAGGTTTGTAACTGAAAAGGTATTTTTTTTATATTATTACAGCACCTATTATTAATATCGATACATCAAATTAAAAAACACCAGAACTGCAAAAGTTTTGTGTTATTACAAAAAATATGCTTGGATATTGGTTGGTGTTTCTATCTCGAGGGAACTTCTTGAATGAAATGTCTAAAGTATCAATAGCTTTTTTGTAATCATTTGCATCTTCTTAAGACTATAAGTTGTTTAGTTTAATTAAATTTTTTGTTGTTCTGATATAAATATTACAAAGAACAAGTTTTAAAAGTATTTTTTAATTTTCTGTAGATGTACATGATCGTTAAATTAAATTACGACTCAGCTGAGAAATGTTCAAAGTTTTCTTTTTGAAATAATAATATGTTACATAGAATTAAGATAGTTTTCAGTAAATTTAGAAACATAACTTATTTGCAAGTTCTGTTTTTTTAGGGAATGAACCTTCTGATTCTATTAGAGTTGTCAACGCATTGCTAACAGAACTAGACAAAATCAAAATACACTCAAATGTTTTAATTTTTGCAACGTCAAATGTAACAGGAGCCATAGATTTAGCGTTTATTGATAGAGCAGATATTAAAGAATACATTGGTCTACCAGGAGTTCAAGCCATTTACCAAATTTACTATTCTTGCATTCAAGAGTTACTAAAGGTACGTAAAGTATACACATATTTAAATTTTTAAAATTTTTTTTACAAAAATAGGCTGAAATTATCCAACCAAAAGTGATTATTCAACAGTGCCCAGACCTAGTTGAACTTGAAAGCAGTGATATTTACAAAAATGACAAAAAACTATTAAAAATAAGCGAAGCAAGTGTAGGACTTAGTGGTAGAAGTGTTAGAAAATTGCCATTTATAGCACATGCTTTATTTTTACAAACGGAAATTGCTACACTGGAAAACTATTTGGAGGCATTACTTTTTGCGGTGGAATATCAAAAGACGAACTCAAAATATTTTTAAACTAAAAAACTTGTAAGGAATTTTTTCAATTCTTATTAAGCGTAAACTATTTTCAATTCTCCATAATTTTTTTAACAGTATTTTAAAATTAGTTAAATTTTTTCTAGTCCAAGTTTGGAGAAAATGTAACTAGTTTTCTAATAAAGAGGATAAAAATCCACAAATTGATGAGGGATTTTAAGTAGTAATGGGCGCTGTCGAATGAATACAACGATCAAACTACTGAATAAATGAATGACTCCAAATATTAAATGAATTCATTCATAACTATTTTTGCTGCTATAATCATCTATCTCTTTCTTCTGTTGAAATACGTACTATGCGGACGGTGCTTATAGTTAATTGCAGAGGTTTTATTATACTACCATTACTTTATTTCATTTGCACAAAATAATTATCAAATTGTTGATACACTTCGCGCACGTACGCGTATTGTATGTATCGTATTCATCCAGAGATATTTACATTAGTGATTCACAAAACTACGCATTTAGTTACAGTTACTACAAACTAGTTAATAGTCCGATAATTCGAATAGTTTCTAACTATCGAATAATCCTACTTTTTATTTGACAGTTCCCATCACTAGTTTTAAATAAATGTAAATATTATAAGAAAAACTTAAGCAATTTTTTATGTTATAGTCTTTGAGAAATGATATTGTATACGTATATATTGGACATCATTTTTATTACTTATGTAATCTGAAATGACTAAAATCTCAGAAACTTTTATATTAACTCGATTTTTCCTTTTATTACAAATGTATTTACAAAAATCACATAATAATAACATTACACTTGTAAGTACTTCATCAACAGATGCCTTGCAGCTACTTTATTTCCGCTTTCTTTATAAATAAGTTGAAGATTATAGGCAGCTTCTCGCTTTAAACTCAAGTTTGGATTTTCCTTTGCCACAGGATTATCATGTTCTAAAACTTTTTTATAATACTTCTCTGCAATATAAGAAAATCCTAGATGTTGACACATCCGCCCCAAATTATAATTAATTTCTTCATAAGCTTCTTGACTACGCATGTTCGCGTAAGTCATTATTATACTAACACAGGTGGATACAAGCTTTTCTTTATTGGTTGATGCTTTTTGAGAACAAATTTGCAAAATTACAGAGCCGAGTATTAACAAATGTAGAGAAGTGCAGTTATTTTTAATGGCATTCAAATAATACATCATGGCAAGTTTATGACTACCAGATTCCACACAGTGGTTGGCCTCTAGAGCTCTTATTTGCGCGTGATGCTCAATGTAGTGCATAAGGAACTTAGTGTGCCTTAAGGCTTCTGCAAACTGTACAATACAGCCGTACATGTTCCACACTAAATTATTTGATTTCTGGTGCAACAGAATAGTTCGTATAAGGGGATAGGCATTACATGTGTCTCTACATAATACAGAAGCAAAGAACGCCCAAAATTGGAGTTCATCAATTTTTTTAAATTTCGAGGAAGTTGACGCGGTAAAAGCCAGTTTTTGCATGATTCGGTATTTTTTCTGTTCCATGCATAGTTGTAGTGCACCTTTTAAAAGTTCATACTCTTCGTCAACAGTGGGTTCTTCCGTAAGAGTAAAAGTTATCGGGCTTTCTTCAGGTGTTCCTCTGAATTTACGCATCGTTTGAAGCCTATTCAGTTTCTCCGTTTGTGTTGCCGAATACATTACAGCTCTCAATTCTTCGAAATGCCGCAACTTAATACAGTGTCGTAACAGTAGCAGCTCAACGTCGTCAAAAAATTCATTATATCTTTTTGACTCTCTTAAAATAGAAATTCGCTTTAATAGCAGTCCTACATCAACAGGATTTAAATCGGGGATTTGCTTAAGTAAATTTAAGGCGTCATCTGTTCTATTTAATTTTACTAAAACATCTGATAATAATTTTTTTGCGTCTGTATATAAAGGAACTGCCTGTGTAACTTTTCTGAAAGCGTTTTCAGCTTCTTCTAATATGTTGCAGCCAATCAAACATTCACCATATTTTAACCAAACAGCAGGAAGAGAAAGTTTTTCATTCTCTATTAATGGCTTGAGAACTTTTAAGGCAATTTCATATTTTTTTGCAGACATCAAAGCTTCGGCAACATCTAGATATAAATCAGCAATTAAATCTAAATTTGGATAATCTAGTATAGGTTTTAATAATTCATCTATCAAATTAAATGCATTTAATTTTATGATACATACTATGAACTTTACCCGGAAGTCTATAGGTATGTTATCGGGCACTGTACATGAAATAATGTTAATACAATTTTCTTCACCTATAATAACTTCTATCTCTATATTACAGTACTGGAAAAAAATATCCAGACAATAAGTATAGTTTTCAGTATTAATAAGTAAATCCAACATTATGTTAACCATCTCAGGAGTTACCATATCAGGGAACTTCTTGAATGAAATGTCTAAAGTATCAATAGCTTTTTTGTAATCATTTGCTTCACTGTACAGTATTGCTAATTTTAAAGAAATTTCCAATAATTCTTTATCATTTTTTTGCATCAGCAAAGCTAGATATCTAACACATGCCTTTATTAATGTATTCTTATTTTCTAGTTTCTCTAGTAAGCATATACGTTTTTTATGTAATGTGCAATTTTCTTTATCGGCATTTATGGCAAAATTGTAACAGCTTATGCCTAGATTTATATTATTACGTTCAACTGCTCTTTCTGCTGTATTGGTCCACAATGTAATGTCTTTTCTAGTGGTAACTGCGGCCATAAAGTATAATTGCAAACTTTTATCTGGATCTTTAGCTTCAAGTAGTTGTGCAAGTGTTAGAAAAGCCTCGGAAGCACGAGGACATTGTCTTATAACTTCGTAACATATTTTTTCAGCAGTTTCAGTATCTCCACGAGCAAATCGTAAATTTGCTTCACCTATCAATGCTTTAATATGTGGTGGAACGTTCGATCTATGTCTCTTGCGTTTTTGGCAACTTAGTGATGGAGACTGCTTTAAACTAGAACATTCTTGTTCAGCAGAATTATTTGATTCTTGTGTAGATGTACAAGGGATATCTAAGTTATCTTCAGCTGTAGATTCATCCATACAAATAGCAAGAAACGGGTCTAACTGATTTAACTCTGAAGACAAGCACTCTACAGGTAATTCAGAAATAAATTCATCTTGACTTGACTCTTTGTCTATATCCATTGCATGAGAATACTCCAACTGGTTTTCATTTCGGGTATTTGTAGTTGGAATAAATACATTCTCGCTAACATTATTTTCCTCATGCTCCATAACACAATAAATATGCAATAAATTTTAATAACAAATCTTAATGTTTATTTAGTGTTTTACTTAATCCATACTTAATCTGTGGTAATAGATTAGATATATCTATGGTATTTTACATAGACAAGAGAGCGGTTTAGAACATAGGTTTAGACAGGTTTAGAATAGTTAATAGTTGATCATAGATAAATAATTATGACCATAATAATTACATTAGATTGATTACAATAAATTAATTACTTTCTTGATTTCTGTGTTTATTTACTTTGGCAAGACTCGCTGTTCAGCTTTATCAAATCCTGAACAAATATCTTTTTATGATTTTTATGCTATGAATAAATAGGGTGCGTTCCATTAAACATACATAGCGTTCAGCACGTAAATTAAGTCTTTTCACATTTGCCTAATTTATAAAGATCATTAACTAACGACCGCGGTCGTGTTTTTTGAATAACTTATCGTGAATGAAAATAATCATAAATGCATAATTCAATATATGACCGATATTTACTATGAAAATTATGTGCAATTATAAATTGTTCTATAGTAATAGCAAATTTGAAGACATAATTGTCACATTTGTTTGACATCGTTGACACCCAAAAACACAAAACCATGACAGAAACACACCCACCCGCTGCGTTGAATAGTTTGTGGATTAAGTTTATGGCATACTAAATTCTGGATTTAGTCAAAAAAGTTTCTGATTATATTATATAAGTTTCTGTTTAAATTAGGTTTTAAAGTAAGTATACACTTTTAATGTAAAGTTTTTATTAATCATTATTTTGTTCCATACAAGTATTTATAGTTTTGTGATTCAAAAAACCGGTATACATGTTTCAGAAATATGTCACATAGGTATTTTTAGATTGAATTAAAGACGAATCAGTAACTTCATATACATTTTTTAACAAACAGAAGTGATTTTTGTAGTATTTTTTGTATAGATAACCAATAGTAATGTCCGAAAGCGAAGTTCACACACCTGAAGATATCGAACACGAAATTGAAACAAACTATAAACCACCCCCAGAAAAGACCATTGAAGAAATCCTTGCAGCAGATCAAGAAGATGAGAGTCTTAGGAAGTATAAAGAAGCTTTGTTGGGAGAGGCACAATCAGGAAAAATTGTTGTAGGTAGGGACCTTATTAATGTTTCATTATTGTGGCAGTTCTTTATTTTATTGTTATGCTTACAGAGCCAGATGATCCTAGAAAAGTTATTGTCAAAAAGTTAGTGCTTGTGGTAGCAGGCAGACCTGAAGTGTCCTTAGATCTTACTGGTGACTTATCAAAGCTCAAAAAGGAAACATTTACTATAAAAGAAGGGGTATCATACAGAATTCGCATTGAATTTATTGTTCAAAGGGAAATTGTTCATGGATTGAAGTATGTACAGAAGACCTACAGAATGGGTGTACCAGGTCAGTGTAAACATTTATCTTTTGTACTCTTATAATTTTTAATTATATGTAAATTAGCATGTTTCAATATTAATAACTGTTGAAATTCTCTTTTTGCATTCTGGATTTTGCAGAGGCAGGTAAATGTTACTTATAATTTAACTGCAATAATTGCTTAAAATTCATATTAAGTACACATTTATCTAAACATAACTTACTGTTGGTAATACCTGAATAATAATTGGTGTTAGTCGTATGCAAAAACTTATTAGAACTTTTATGTTGTATTTTATGATATTTAAATGATTCTTAAATGTGTGTTACAATTGATTAGATAATAAATGGTAATTGTATTCC